TTAACTTCCATGTGTTTAGGAAATTTTTGCAGTTTCTTTTGCTATTGATCTCCAATTTCATTTCACTATGATCCGATAAAATACAGGGAATAATTTCAGTTTCTTTGCATTTACTTAAACATGTTCTGTGAGTGCATATGTGGTCTATTTTGGAGAATACCTCTGTACACCTGAAAAAAATGTGTATTCTGATTTTGTGGGGTGGAATCCTCTGTGAACATCTCTTAAGTTCATTTGTTTAAGAGTTCAATTGAGTTCTAGTATTTGGTTGCTTGTTTTTTGTCTGGTAGTTCTATCTATTTGTGACAGTGTGGTATTGAGGTTCCCCCACTCCTATTGTATCAGTGCTTATTTGATTTTTCATGTACATTAGTATTTTGCATACAGTTTATATAGTTTATATTGTTTATATAGTTTACATAGTTTTATTTATAGCTTTATATAGTTTTATTGTTTTATATAGTTTATATAGTTTATATTGTTTGATGCATACATGCACCATACATGCATATATGGTTTTTCATGTCCATTTGTATTTTTTTGTATAGTTCATATTGCTTGGTGCATATATGTTTATGATTGTCATATCTTCCTCTTGGATTGTTCCCTTTACAAGGATGCAGTGTCCTTCTTTGTCTCTCTTAATCAGTGTTGTTTTGAAATCCACTTGATCTGTGAAGAGGATAGCTACTCCTGCTTTTTTTCATGTTTCTGTCACATGGAGTATTGTTTTCCACCCTTTATCTTTCAGTCTATGAGTTCCTTTTTGAATTAAGTGTGTTTCTTGCATGCAGCATATTGTTGGATCTTGCTTCTTGACCCATTCTGCCAGTCTATTTCTTTTGATAGGTGAGTTGAGACCATTAACATTCATGGCTATAACTGATACTTATTGACATCATTGTCATGACTTTTTCTTTTTGTTGGATTCTCTCCCTTTGTCTTTAATTTCTTGTCATGCCTGATGGATTCACTCTGCTCAGTTTCCTGGGGTTGTGATCCTCAATGCCCTTTCCTAGGATATTGTCTAAAATTTTTGGAGTGCTAGTTTGGTATTCATGCAGTTCCTAAGATGCTCTTTGTCATGAAAGTATCATATTTCTCCATCAATTTTGAAAGATAGTTTTGCAGGGTACATCAATCTGGGTTGGGGGCAGCTTTCCTTTAGAGTTTGCCATATGTCTCTCCAAGGTTTTCTTGCCTTCAGGGTTTGCATTGAGAAGTCTATTGTGATTCTGATGGGTTTACCTTCATATGTGATTTGTTTCTCTAACTGCTTGTAGAATTTTGTTTTTCTGTTGGATTTCTGGAATCTTAACAATTATATGCCTATTTGTAGATTTTTTAGGATCAAGGCTAGTGGAGTCTTATATGCCTCAGTTATCTGTATGTCAAGTTCTTTTCCCCTGCTTGGGAAGTTTTCTGCCATCACTTCTGTGAACAGTTTTTTATGTCATCTGCATTTTCTATTTCTTCATTGACTCTGATCAGTCTTATGTTATTCTTTGCATTGTCTAGCAGCTGCTGAATTGATTTCTCATGGTCCCTTACCATTTTTAAGAAATTTTTCTTCTCCTGGTCACTAATTGTAATCTTATCTTCTATATCTGAAAATCTGTCCTCACATTGGATCATTCTGCTGTGTAAACTTTCAATGGAGTTTTTAATCTCCTGAATATCTGTTTGCATCTGTTTTATGGATTCCATTTTTTTCTATGTTGGATTCCATCATGTTCTTCAGCTCCTCTATATTTTTGTCTGTGTCTGATCTAGATTTATTAATCATCTCTTGCACTATGGTCACAATCTCTGCTGTTATCTGAGAAATTATTTCTGATTTCATTTTTTACAGATCCTCTTTTGTTGCCAGTTCAGAGAGTCCAGGTGGTTGAGTATTAGATTGTTCCATCTCGTTTCCCTTCAGGGTTGCTTTAGGTGATCTTAAAATCTTGTTTTGAGACTTTTTTATGTCTCTTCCCATTTTAATGATGGGGGAGGGATGTGTGCTGCTGGTGCCAGTGTGGCTCACCTCCTGTGCCCTGGGGACAGCTCTGCTCCTTGGTACTGGAGCAGTGGTGTGGCCACCTGGAAGGTTCACCTCCTCTGCACTGGGGGCAGCTCTGCTCCTCCTTTTCATTGTTGACCTAAGAAGTACCTCATCTTCTTAAATTATAACAAATATTTGTTACATTATTTATCTATAAAAGGGACCCTCTCTTGGAATTATTGTGAAAATGAAACAATGTTTGCAAATTGATACAGAAATTTGGGGCTATTAAAAGAACCCAAAAGCCCACAAACCACTGAGGTTAAATATCAGTGATTGTGTTTATGCTATGGTATCAGATTTCCTCTAGCTCAATAATGAGAGAAATAATACTGCCATATGAAATACATTTTCAAAATTTTCTCATTTACACTATATTTGATAGAAATTGATTGAGATTATAATTCCCTAGATTCTACAATGTTGAACAGACTTATTTATAAAACAGAAAATACAAAAGTTATGTTCTTACTAGATAAGTAGTCAACTTTTTTTAAGATCCAATAATATTATGGCCTTATGAAACTTAGATTTATATGAATATATTCCCAAAATAATAGCCATATTAAATTTTCCCTGAATCTAGGAACCATATTAAATAATTTAGAAGCATTTCAATCAGAAAAATACCTAATTCTATTTACAGTATTACTTTTCTCCAAGAAATCCATATTAAATATCTTTTTATATTGGAGCATGCTTATTTAATGAAAACACTTTAAATTCTAAAAGCATAAATTAAGGAAGTAGTTTTTTTTTCACTTTGCTCTGGAATATCTGCAATCTTATAAGTCATTAAAACTCAAAAGTCCTCAATGCTTGTGTTTACATATGTGATTATACATATATGTCTTTTTTCTCTTTTTGGTAAATATGAATATTAAATATAGTCCAAAATTTCATTGAACATGATTCTTCTAATAAAGTAGTCATAAACATGGAAATGAAGTCTTATATGCTACATTGCCCTATCAATAAATATACTTATAAAATATGTGGATAATAAATGGAAAAATAGTTATTATCTTCTCTCTATTACCTTCAGTGATCATTTATCTGACTGTAGGATAACAGAAAAAGACATATTAACACATTTACCCACACAGTGTACTGATGACTATTTATAAAGGAAATTGAATTCACTTCTTCAAAATTAGCCTAATGATTTTAGGTATACTTTTTTTGAAAGTCAATGAGACTTGGCAACATCTAGGAATTCAATCACATCACAGTGATTATCATACTTCTATTATTCTTCCCACATTTGCATGTATAAATTAAGCAATTCTATTTAATTTGACAAAATCAAAAAATTTTTGTGCTGTTTTGCAATATACTGGGTTAGTCACTGAAAATGATTCAAAGATCAAATGAATCACATTCTCTTGTTTCAGCAGGCATCTTCATCATCTCAGTACTATGGAAACAGAAAAAACAAGCAGAGCAGGAACATTAAAGTAGGACTATACAACTGCTATCATTGGGAGGAAGGGGGTGAGGAATCACACTACTGTCAAAGTTTTGACATATTTCATGAGAAAGATGGTATTTGTACTAAACAGTGAGCAGTAGAACTGTAATTGCTTGTGGGAATGTTATGGGGGAGTTCAGCCAGAGAGAATGGTGCAAGCAGAAGCATGGGTCTGAGAGGCAGGCGCTCAAGAATCAACATGCTATCCAGAAAGGGCAGCAGGAGAGAAAACCAGAAATGTTTTCATGTATATATGATAAAGGGCTGAGAATGTCAGGGACCTTGGAAAAAAATAATGGAGAATTCTGCTCAGAAAAAGAAAGCCTTTAAGGTTTTTGAAGATAAGAATGACCTGGAGAATAGATTTAGTTTTAAGTTTACCTAATAGAAAGGTACAGGGTAAGATAAAGGAAGATAGAAGATATAAACTGATTTTAAGAATTTAAAGTATTTTGCATGTATTTGCTTATTTTAATGTCTCTACTATTCTATAAAGTAGTGTATCACTTTGCTAGGTTGGTCATAACAAAGTGCCACAGACTTAAAAAATAAAAATTTGTTTTCTCACAGTTCTGGATGCTAAATTAAAATGTCGGCAAGATTGATTTATTCTAAGGCTACTCTTTGGCTTGTATTTGCCTGTCTTCATACCATATATTCAAATGGTCTTCCTGCCAGTGTCAATAGCTCCTAATATCCTCTTTTTATGAGGAAAAGAGTCTTTGAATTAGGATCCATCCATGTAACCTTAATTACCTTAATTATTTTACCTTAATTATCTTAATTTTACTTTAATTACCTCTCTAAAGGCCCAATCTCCATATAGTTGTATTCTAACTTACTGACAAGGATCCAATTCAGCCCATAATGGGAAGGCATACTATTGTCCCTTATTTATATTTATGGAGAATTTGAAAAGTTATACAATTTGTTTATGTTTATAAAGCTAGAAAATGAAATACTAGTGTATGATACACTATTGCTTAATCTGGCTGGCTCTATTCTGGAATATAGAAGGGATTTAATAAGTTAGTATTGGACAAATGAATAAATTATGAAGTAAGTTTTCATGAGTGACTACAATTCTCTCTTAAATATTTTATCTAACTCCAGGTAAATTACTACTGAAGGGAGATGTTTTTTAGCTCTTCCCCAAGTCTTCTCAGAGACTTTTTCAGCAGACCAAGTATTTTGGAGCTTTTTATTATCTTTTTCTCATCTAAATACAGTTAAGGATTTCATACTACAAATGTGAAAAATAACAATCACCTCCCCAACAAAAGCCCTCTCTTTACTTCTTTACTTCAACTCTTAATGATTGATTTCTATGAAGTACTTGCTGTTAGTATATTTTGAGCAACAAGGCAACATAGCTCCTAGAGAAAACATTCAGGCATGCTCTAAACTGTTGTACCAGTCTTCATATTAGCTCAGATCAAGCAAGCAAAGATTCAACTGAGACCGAGATAAGAATTGGCTTACTATTGCTCCAGAGGCCAGTTTTAGAGCAGATGGGACAATTTGGAAGGCTTGGTGATGATGAGAAGAATGTTATGACCAAGAGAGCCTCCTTAGTGTTACCTGTCATTCCAAATTTTAGACAGGTTTCTTCTTATTCATAGGTCCTTGACTTCCTCCTTCTTAAAGTATTTTCTATAGAAAAGTTGTTTTCATTAGAAAATTCTTTCTCTGTCTCTGTGAAATGTATAGTTGACATTCTGTATCTGAGGGTTCCACATCCACAGAATCAGCCAACTGAAAATCAAAAGCATTTAAAAAACAAACAAAAAATTTATCCATACTGAATGTATATAGACTTTTTCCTTGTCATTGTTCCTGAACAATGCAGTATAACATCTACTTACATGCCATTTACATTACATTAGACATTATAAGTAATCTAGAGATTATTTAAAGAACATGGGAGGGTATACATAGGTTATTTGCAAATACTATTCCATTTTATATGTGACTCAAGCATTTATAAGATTTAGTACTCATGAGGTATCCTGGAACCAACCCACCACAGGATACCAAAGGACGAACCTATTACCCCTTTTAGAAGCCTCTTGCCAGTGTTAAATAAGAGAATATCTTTTTCAAGGACCTAGAAACCATTTCTTTGAAATATAATCATAATGGAATATAGCTCCCTTATCTTACAGTGTTTTGAGAGGGTAACAGCCCACACAGGTGCCTGGCTCAAAATTTGTACACCTCCCTCCTACCATGAACATAGGAGAAATTTTACTTTCCCTTTGGGTAAGAGCTAGTACCAAACATAGACGAACTATGATCCCTCCAATATTCCAGCTGTTAAACCTCTCCAGGCTTTTGTTGCACAGAATTGAGCTTAGTCTCATTCCATTATTGCATTAGTCTTGCATAAAGTCTTCTTTACCTATTTATCTTTGTCAGGGAAATTTTTCTCTAACAAGTTCTAATAACTGAAGTTATCTTAGGGTAAGAGAAAATAGGCTAGCTTTTGCTGAAAAAGTATGTCCCAGGGGCTCTCTTGAATCTCTAGTATTATCTTCTGTCATCTTTTCAATAACCTACAGAATAGGGAGGAATATACTCACAAATGAGGTAACTGAGACTTAGGCCAAAAACTATTGTACAACTGTTACATGGTTGCTATGACTGATTTATGATAGAGTCAGAATTTATGAGGCAAATTCTAAGGTCATCGGCAATTTTGCCTCTCAAGTCAGTCTGCAATCTTGCCTATATGAGCTTAGATTTTATTTGTTAGGTAAATAATAATTTCAAAAAACTGATGATGAGGAAAATGGTATCATAGAAAGTCAATGTGCAAAAAGAGAAATCATAGGATATTCCAAGGTAGCTGCAATGATACAGGATTTAGAAAATGGCTAAATCTGATACACTATGCTGCCACATAGTTTTAATAAGTACAACAATGGTATTAACACCTGACATTGACTGATTTGCTACAATATTCTCAGGTCCGTGCTAAGTATCAAGCATATATTTCAAGAAATCTTCCAAAGGACATTTTAGAGTAATAATGTTATTACCCTTTTTCTGACTTTTTGCTATGTATCAATACAGTGTTGATATATTGTTCACTTATTTCACTGATAAAACAATATAGAAATGTAAGAAAATATTATTATCCTACTTTCAAAAATGAAGAAATTGAGCCCTAGATTAAGTAATTTTCCCAAGGCCACAAGCAAGTAAATGATGAATACAGCATTCAAATCAAGTCTATGTAAATTAAGAGTCTATCAGTGGTAGTGAACCTATGTCACACATGTTATTTGCTTTTCTTTTAAGACAAAAGATGTAAATGTATTTGTTTTCTAAACTAAAACCTGAGTATTTGGGGTTAATTGCAGTATTGACTTGTTGTGATAAAAAAGTGATTTTTGGGTTTGAGCACTCATCCCTAAAAGGTTAACTATCACTGGTCTACACAATAAAACAACAATCCATGTTGATTCCATTATTTTTTATCCTATTATTATATATCTATGAACTACTTGTACCCTATAACTATCTTATAATTAGATACTAATATGAACTAAAGACTAATGGCATTTAGCTAATATTCAAACCCAAGTGTTACTATAATGATGTTAAAAGTATTTAGAACCTGATTTGAGAATAAACAGCCTGGAACTTACCTTATAGAATCCTCTACTCTTCCAATATTAACAAATAATTTATCATAATTAAAACATCAGAAATGTTTGAGGTGCTTCTTATATTGAAACAGTGGTTATTTCCCAGATAATCATATTTATAATCTGTGAGCCCCCAGGGATTCTTTATTAATGAGTTCACTAAGGATGTCGCTTCTAAAATGATTTAATTATTAGCAGTTATATGGTAGTATATTTTTATTTTTATGTTGTAAAATATAAAGACCGTACCATTTATGCCATTTTAAGTGTAGATTTCTATGACATTTAAGAACATTACATTGTTATACAGCAGGTTTATGTTATCTTAGAAAAAATGAAAAATGGCTTAGTAAATTGTTTTCCAATTTGATTCCCATTAACTACATTAAGGGAGTGTATGACGGCTTGATTTAAGTTGTGCATATTCACACTGCTCTCTGCATTAAAAAATAAAAAACAATAACCTGATATAGGAAGAGTTGGCATCAGTGCTGACAGGGAGGCTCAGAGAGAAGGAAACCAGAGAGCTGAAAGGAGCACCCTCCAACAGGAAGAGAAGAATATCTGACATTGGCTGAATGTGGATTCTCATTAGGAAAAAATAAATGATTCCCTTCTTTATAGGGTATTGCGGAAGAGAGCCTTCTCATGCTGATAAACTTTGACATTTTTGTCCTTTGGGCTTCTGGACTTCAACTTGTTCAGTACACCATGCAGTGGCCGGCACACTGACACTCCCCTCCTTCAGGTGATAATTGTCCTTGGCTCAATCAATTAACAGGAACAAAAATGATTCAAACACTGACCCAGAGCACTGAGTACATTTCTTTACCTACTCTTTCCTGGCACAGTATAAAATTTTTGTTATTATTAAAGAACTCAAATTTCAATCTGTACAATTCAAAATTGGCATATTTGCACAGTAACATTTTGGTCCTGTTTGAACATATATGGTAGAAGTGAAATTTTAAATAACATAAAATTTCTGGACCTTTCCAGGAATGCCTAATAGATGCAAGTTATTATGTTAGCCTCAAGCCATGGCATACATCATAATGAATCTTGCCATGTGTTTCTTGAACTTTAGGCTATCTCTCTCTAGTAGTTAATATTCATCCTGTAAATAAACGTTATTTGGCATTCCTGCTCCAGACTATACATAAATAATCCAAACACGCATCAAACATGGTATAGCTAAATGCCAAAATTATGTGCTCTGAAACATTTAAACAATGGTCAGAAAAGTAAAATAGAATCAATCACTTTGTAATCAAATGAGCAAGGTTTTTCTCCCTTACCAAAGACCAAAAAAAAAAAATGTTTAAAGGCATTTCTAATATTTAACCACTAAATCAAGTGAAAAGAAAAACTATTCCATGAAACTGTAGCAAATATTCTGCAAAGCATGACTGTTCCATTTATCCAGGGACACTTAATGATTAAAATTAATATCTTGAGTTAAAATTGCCAGGGGACATATTTAAGGGAGAGCAAAAAGTTCCAAGAGAAATCAATTGTAAAATAATCAGTACAAAAATCTGTACTCTGAGCAAATGTTCATGTAAAGACTAAAACTTAGTAATAAGGGCCCAAAGCAAATAGAAATATATCAGCACACATTAATCTGTCTAGAAGACCCAAAGAAAGGAACTCAAGTAGACAAGCATTGAGATCATTTTTATACTAAATTATTTGAAGAAAATTAAGCCTGATGAAGATAAAAATGCTCATGAATTTCAATTTTACATTATTTATATTTCATTGTATATGAAGAAAGCTATAGAATGTGTATTGTTTTCAGAACTAATTTCAGTACTTTTTGTTTGCTTCAAATGTCCTGAATTTTAGAAATCCTCTAAAATGTTGTATATTGATTTTAGAATTGGATGGACTGGATCTTATTATCTATGTCAATATTATGAGCCCATAATATTATATTGTGCTGAGCAAGCATAACAAAAAAAATCTGATGCAGAATTTCAGTATCTTTCAGTATGTATTTTAAGATTATCAGTAAGCTATGAATTGGTGTAGTAGCAACAGGAACTGAAACAGCAGGAAGCGATGAATAATGTAAAATATGAAATTTGAGAGAATGAACAAACCAAGAGAACTATAAATCTTGAAAACGGTGTCTGTTTATTTCTTCCTGGTCATTGTTAATCAAGTTGTCCAGTGTTAGCATTTCAGCACAAGACTACACAGACAACTTAAAAGTTTCTCATTTTTTGCTTCATATTTTTAGAGGAGAAAAATAATAACATCTATTTCATTTGGGAGCCTAAGAACTCAAATTGAGGGGTATGAAACTATTTAGCATATAGTGAACTGCTCAGAAATGTTAGTTGCCATTAGTTACTGCCTAGGAAACCTCCTTCTTTCCATCTGGATCCAAGCTCACTTCTTACCATCTTGGCTCTAGGAATACTAACTCTGGCTTTAACAGCGTTGTATTTAAATAAATACTCAAATATGTCAGAGAGAGGGTGAGGGCAGATAATTCTAGATTTACAGAAGAGCTGTAGAACCATGAAATAATTATCAAAACTAAGAAATCAACTTGGTCCAATACTGTTAAACCCATATGGAACTCATATTTTACAAATTTTGTCTGTTAATATTCTTTTTTTATTCCAAGATTCCATGTAGATTTCTTCATTGCATTTAGATTTAATGTCTCCTTAATCTCCAATATGTGACAGTCCCTTGGCCTTTCTTATCTTTCATTATTATACAGACTTTCCTCAATTTTTTCTTACAATTTCTCATGAAATTTTTGCATTATCAGGAAGCATATCAGTGATATGCTTTTCTCAGGATGCAACGTGATTTGTGTTATTACAGATGTTCACCTTGATCACTTGGTAAAGGTGGCACCAACCAGGATTAATAAATATTTCAGGAATAAAATATGAGCCTGAATATTGCTTGTTTCTCCTTCAACTTTCATGTCCTCTTTTAGCTTCTCTTCATGAATCTTGTCTATGGTAATTATTACTGTGGGTTCTAACAGTGATTTTATGTTTTTTTCAATAATTATGTATTTTTATATTGGAATTTTTCTTTTAAAATATTTTTCATTTCTCAACCAGTTATCCAATT